CCGCATCTCTGCGTATCTTCCCCATGAACTATTAATGTACTTTTAGCAGGTCCCAGAGCCATTAATAAGACACCATTCGCTGCTTCTTGCCTTCCCTACTGTCCTATTGTTGTCTGCCATTGATTGGCAATGTGCCAGAAAGTTCACTGCCTTATTACTGCTGTGGTACAGTAAGCACGCGAGAGAAGCCCTCGCCGCTGATATATTTCAGTTAAATCGCAGACCAAGGGCCTGATGCACTAGTAACCCGTGTGATAACTGTCTAGGGCGCTCACTATCGATGTTAACATTCTCCTGAAGCCACGCACCGTGTTGAGGCAATTCTAAGAGCTTGACTCCCACCACGCGCGATTAGGATTAGATGTGTCCAATTCGCAATGCGTAAAAAATTCCAAACTGTGAAGCCGTGCAACGCGGAAATGACCGCCTTGGATTGCCTGCCGATAGAGACTAGTTTTGCAGTCACACTTGACCACACTTTTCAAGCTTTCCCGCGTAGAGCTGGAAATGATGAAACGAACCTTGTCAGCATGTGGGAGATTGCGGAAAGCATGCGAATGACTTTGCCCAATCTATATACAGAGCAATTATACGCGATCTCCAAAACGGCATTTTGTTCTCGTCCATTCCCGGCTTAGGAGATGCGATGGGGTCAGTAATCTGAAGATAAGCCTTCCGCACATGCGTATGCATTAGGTTATAATTAAGTTTTTTGATTCCGCTTCCTTGACACTAATTGGTTGATGGAAACGACTGGGAGCGGCTAGAGCGTCATCTAATGACGCATAGGGTTCGATATCCGCCCGACTGAGCAAGAGCGTCAAGTTATTTTCCAGTGTAGTCAATCGCTCAAGCATCGGATCAACAGCATTCTGAAAAAACCCTTTGAAAAACGATGTGAACAGTTTGACATAAACAATCAACGCTCTAAAAACATCTTATAAAGGATTACGTTGTCCTGCTTGTGTTCTCTTGAATCTAGGCAACTTGGCCCTAAACGAATGTCTTCATGGCTGTAGCTGTCCGGCGAGTTTGAGTTATGTCGGGCTCCTGCAACATAGAGCTTCAACTGAGATAAAATCTGACCTTTGAGTATATTATCGGAGTAATTAACTGTAGAGAGTAAAGCTTAAAGACTTGAGCATTTCCGATTCTCACACCACCCAAGGACCTGAAACACTATACAATACAGTTTCATTAATTGCTTTGGAACCATTATGTTTTGACATAAGGGGAACGTAAAAAAGAAGAAAAGAAGTTGGTCATGCAGCCCCTCTCTTTCGAGTCATCTATGACGTTCACACTCGCGATTGGTTCGCGCAACCGTGAAGCGCTTTACTGCCAAACGATGCAACCGCCGCCACGGCGCATTCTTAAAGACAGCCCCCGCGCTCAAGTAGTACATCGTCTTAGTTCCTTGTGGAGGTAGTTCAGCCAAGCGTAGATACTTGTCCCTCTTAGCGACCTCCACAGACGAGCGAGGAGCTGAAATCAACGCGCCAAAGTTCTTAGTTCTACGCGCCGCTCAGGTGGACCGCCCACTTGCCTACGTCTGCCCTCAATAGAAAGCGCTCAGTTTCTTTGCTTTGGGACGGCGGGCATTAATCGGGACTGCATGTACTTTTTGCTGACCGCGCTCGTGCCCATAAATAATTCTGCTCTCCTTCATCACATTTTATTCATTGGGAGCACATACAGTCAATTGCCCACCATCTCGTAAGGTAAAACGCGTAAAAATCACATAATAAGAATGATGCAATTTCTGTGGTGCAAAAGCTCGACATGCACCTAAAGCCGCACTGCACGTAAACCCATATTCGGACGCCAGGTTTTTCAATTTTTCCTTTTTTCATGTGATGTGCTTCTTTTCGTTCGTGTCTTGTTGTTTTCATATTATTTTCTTTGATGAACGTGATGCTGTCCCACTACTGGGATGTCCATAACGCGATTTGTGAGCAGTAGTCTGTTGCCCACGGACCGCAGAGGCGGTGTAACTGTAAGGGAGCAATTTTGTTTGTGGTGTCTTGAGGGCTCTTGTTGGCTTTTTTCCTTCATTGAGGAATTACTATCAGCTAATAGCAATTATCATTGACACTTTTATTGCGGGAGCTGTAGTTGACACGGTAGCTTCCTACTCGGCCTGAAATGCTAGTAGGGCGCTGTATAGAGGGGAAATGGCGAAAGAACGGAGTGAAGCGGTCAAATCCTGCGAAAGTAAAAGCCGTTATCAGTGACTTGTAAATCGGTTTCAGACGAGTTTCCCGTAGGCCATCTTACCAGCTCACGTTCACCGAAGCATTCGGCATGCCATATGTCTACCATGTATTGCATGCACATCACGCGCGCTTCATACCAGTCCCTTCGCTATCATAATTGTTGCCCTTTTAGCACATGAAGGAATACAGCGTCAGGAACGGTGTCTATTTAGGAGCGGGCGGGCGTGGCGGGCGTTTGGGACGTAAAGTTGTGGCTTGATAGGGCCCTTATAAGGGCACCTTCCTCGGGGAAACCGCTATGCAGCGCCTGCCCAGGGTCGCGGAATTCTATCCTGCCAGGCGTATCAATCCTACTCGTCTTTAGGGATTTATCGTGCCAACTGCCTTTAAACTGCCCACCTCGTTTGTGAACGCGGTCCAGTTAAATTATGCCAGTTGCGGCGGCAGGGCGCAGCTGCTTGGCGGTGGAGTGCCCCTAGACGTTTAGCCGCTATCGCGAAGTCTGAACGTGGCCTAATGCTGATGTAAGACTGTCCAAATAGTACGAGTACGCAATGAAAACACAACAAGTAGTGGACGAAAAACATCGAAAACGAAATTCTTGAGTTCTTTTTCTAAGAGTCCTTTTGCATTGATGAGGCCAGATTTAGCTAAGTGAGTCAAATATGCATCCAGTAAAAGCAAGAGGCGGAAAGAGTACCTATGCCGGGTGCTCCCGCCATCCCCGGGATTTCTTTTCTAGAACGTTGACAGTGCTCTTGCTGGTCCACTTTCTATCCACACCTAATCAGCCGCAGAACCACTCCGCTTTTTGAAGCTTCGTCTTTCCCAACATCTGACTTCTGCTCAGTTACTACATCAGTTTTCTTGATTATTAGAAGCGAATCCCAGCTCAGCACCTCCATGTTGATCGTTGATGATAGGGTAGCTGCGAAACGACCACTGCCTCGCTGCTATACACCGATGACTGCCCCATTTTTCAAAGCTGCGTCGTTTTTGTGGAGTGCGTTGCCGCGTCCGAGCTTTTTTTACGCCACAATCATTCACTCTTACTGTGGTTCCATCACAGATTTTAAAGACCATGTTTTCATGCAAACTGTTCGGAGAATTCGTTCTCGACGTGCCGAATTATAAATGGTCACAAGTTTTTAGCGGATTCAGAGGTCTAGTCTGTACTTGCTCCAACGCGTTTGTTAGGAAAGAAAGCGCTTGGAAAATTTCCACAACTTCATTCAGAGAATCGTTTTAGAGAAACTCGAAACTCATATACTACATTAGCGCCTCAAAAGGCGTAGATCAGTGTGAACCCCTTTGCATATGGTCAGATGGACCTATTGGAATCTCCTTGTTAGATGCCAGACTGTTCATACAACATACCATGTTTTAATGGTTGTATTTACTAAAACGGAGACTTGTTGTGGAGCCAGTGAGCACGCAGGCTAGGCTGAAGTACAAATTGGACTAATCACAGCATCAAAGGGGAAGGAAACGTTGTTTACTCTTCGTCTTGACGGATGTGATATAATCAGTAGATACGTGATCAAAAAATCAAACATTTTTGCACCCCCGATGAAAAAAACATAGGCTGCGAGACTGTCAAATCTCAAAAACAAATGCGAACCTGTAACTCGTCTGCAGTTATTATTTCATAACTTTGCGCACATTTTTTTCAGGCTGGTTGCAGGCTTCACTAGGAGTACAAGTCAGAGTCAGACCGCCGTTCAGACTTCGCGATCGGTAGGGTACTCGCTCAATCCGGATCGCGCCAGTCCACGACCAGGAATGCTCCACCGGTCAAACGGGTGGCACCCACCACAACGCACACTCAATCTGCACTGTGTGAGCGCGCGGCTCGGTTGGAACGCCAATCTGAATTCTGCTGTTGCGTCGGTGCATCGCTTGGTGGTGAAGCGCCCTGCTCGTGGTTTCCGATCCGATCGCGAAGTCTGAGCGTGATCTCAGCGGGAAATGCGGGTCTGAGCCCGCCTGGGGTCTGACTTTTGCCCATAACCCAAAGATCCTTGCGATATTGAGTTGAATGACTAACGAATGAAAAAATAATCAAATAAGTAAACAAATGAAAAATAAGAGAGGGAAACAAGTAGCGAAGAGAATGGATTACGAATAGCTCACTCCTGGCTGTCATTTACCGCATCAGACGGATGTTTATCACTTTTGCGAGTCCTTTTGGTATATCCAATGCGATCTCGGTCGTTTTGAATGGCTGAATTCGAAGCTAATTGAGTGTAATGAGCGTCGTTTAGAACAAACTATACTTACATTTCTTATCCATTCCAACAAGGAGACACTTTTTGAGACGGCAGTGACGGCAAGCGCATCGCACTCCTGGAAAACATACCCGATAGCTAGGAGAAAAAAATCGTTTCTGTCTTCTTCACTTTGTGTATTTTCAAAAGGGTAAAAATTCAACTGGTTTTCCTGAATAAAACGCGAGACGCTCCTTATCATTACCTTTCTATAATTCTTTCTAAGAACAAGTTCGTGCCTTTTTTACTCGAAGGATTAGAGCTTGCTTATTACTCGAGATGACCCGTAGAATGACGCACAAGGTCCAGGTTAGATCACAGCTCCTGATTCAGTCTAGATCACAGCTAGACTGAATCAGGTAGCTTCCAGAAGATAAACGACAAGATTATACAAGCGACCAAAGAAGGCAGACTGAGCTCTCGAGCACATACATCTCACTGAACTACTGAGCACGTACACGACGTTAAAGACAGCTCCCGCGATAAAAGTCTCATGGATAGCTGCTTTCCAATTATGAAACAGTAGCTGATAAGTAATCTCCCAAAGAAGAAAACAGGCAAGAAGCGTCCTCCAGAACAACATAAACAAAATCGCTCCCTCACAGTCACACCTCCCTGCGGTCTCTGTGCAACCCCTAGCTAATCTCTCTATCACATCTCGCAGTAGTTGATATCATCCAGTGCAAAAAAAGAATACAAAAAGAAAACAACAAAAACGCAGAGGAAAAACTCTTGGAAGGAAAAAGGAATTTTATCAACGCGGTGTCTGAATTTGGGATTACGGTAGCGCACGTTTTGTGCGTCGAGGTTTTGCATCACGAAAATTGCGTCACTCGTGCTTTTTACGCGTTTCACCTCGCGAAATGAGTTGAATTGAATGTATATACCTCCAATGAGTAAACTGTAATAAAGGGGAGCAGAATTATCCATGGGCATTAGCAATGCCCGCCGCCCCAACTAAGAACAACTGAGTGGCCTCCGTCGGAGGACATCTAGCAAGTAAGGCGGTCCAACTGAGCAGGCGTTAGAACTAGAACTTACAGCGGCTGTAGCTCGCTTCTCGCTCGCTGTGCAGACGAATAGAGTGGGACAGTCTCTAGCTTGGGGGCTGTACTACTTGCACAAGGAAGGACGACCA